CGGCCCCGCCCCCGCATGCCCTTCACCTCGTGGGTCCTTCGCCACTCGGGCTGGCCCCTGGGTTCTGGTCTGTAAGCTCCGTGAGGCCAGGTCCTTATCCGAGGCGCCGCCCTGTCCCCGGGAGCTGCCCAGGGTCCGGCTGGCGCCCTCGGCGGTGAACGGGGAGGGCCGTGGGGCCAGACAGGAAGCGCTGGTGACGGGGAGGCCGCCGTGTCTCCTGCTTCTGCCGTGTCATCGGGACACATGGGGTTGCGAAGGACAGGATCAGAAGCTTCACCGGGAGACGCGGAGTAAACTTACTGCCGTGACGGTGCCGGGTGCAGAGCAGGCGCTCTAGGGGCCCCGAGTCCTTGGGCACTGCATCCCCCACTGGCTCCGGGACCTCGGCTTCCCCGTCCTGCAGATGTGAGCGCCCCGACACCGGGGCTCCTGGCCGCACACGGGGAGACGAGTGGATGAACGGCCTTGGGCTCATCGGAACTCTGGGTGTGACAGGCTGGTGCGCGGGCTGCTCCCCGTGGGCCCGCCTGGCAGGCGAGTCCTGGTCGGCTCGGGTCCCAGGCAGGCCGCGTCCCATCCGGCGCCTCGCCCCGGGCGTCAGTCTGCGGTCGGTCCGTGCACACCCGTCAGTCCCGACCCGGCCGCTGTGCGGAGGCTGCTGGTGGGGCTCGCCCACCCCGGCCCGTTTCTGGGGTCACAGTCACTGTGCAGAACACCCCCTCACCCCCCTTACTCCCCCCGTGATCGTCACCTGCCAGAGGACTGAAGGGAGGAAGGGGCTCTGAAGCCCACTCTCGCTTCTTCCCACAGGTCACCAGGGACAACAGAAGCCACCTTCTCCCGGACATCGTGACCTGCGTGCGGGGCGGCGGGAAGTGACGGTGGCGGCCTCCCGCGCGGTCCCATGGACGCTCGCGGCTTCCGCGGCGGAAGCCTGGCGGCTGTTCCCGCAGGGCTCGAGGCCAGGCGGGGCGGAGCGTTGCCTGGAATTTGCCGCCACGGAAGTTCGTAAATGTGCCGGGGACGTGGGGACGGGTGACTGCCTCGTCAGTCCTGAGGGTCACGATCGTGAGCTCCCTCTCCATCCACAGCTCGTGCAGCTCGAAGTGATAACAGTTACTTGATTTTTAAAAGTTATTTCCAAAGGAAACCGTTTGAGGACCCTCCCCCCACCCCCGAGTCCCTTGCTGTTTGTTTGCTCACTGCTTAATGGATTAAAAAGCGCTGTGACGGCTGCAGGCGTGTGAGTCCCGTGTGGGGTGGACAGCCCGGCATGGCGATGGCCTCTGGCACGTGGCAGGCTCGGGCCTGGGCTGCTCTGGCCCCCCCACCCCCCACCCGGCCTGTCTGTGCCTCGTTTCCCTTCTAGGAAGAGGGGCCCGAGTGTCATCTCAGGAAGGCGATGGCCCGTCATGGCAGGAAGCCCCATCGGTCGCCTGCGTGGTGCCCTGGACAGTCCGGGCTGGGTTTGGGGAGCCGAGGGAATGCCGGCCGCCGGGAGCCATGCGGGGGCTGCCCTCGGGCTGGTGGCACCGGACGGATTAAGAGTTTCGGGTCATTTCTGGTGAAGACCTGGGAATTCCCAGGACTTTTTAGCAGCTGGTGTTGATGCCGGGCGCACCCGTGTGTCACCGAGCTGCCGCTGGGAGCACGGCAGTGCGGGTCACCGCGGACTGAGGCGACGGTGTGCCGCCTGTCATGGGCCCACGCTGTAGCCTGCGGCCCTCTGGAGCTTGCTCTGGGTGTGCTGGAGGGAGCACAGCCCACAGGCCTGGGTCCCGGACCCCTCGCTTCAAGTCTGAGGAGGACGGCGTCACCGCCACACGGTCCCTGCCCGGCTGGGTTCTTGAGGGTGGCGCAGCTCACACGGTGTGACAGGCTGGCCGTAACTCCAGCCAGGCTCCCGGGACAGGAGCACTGGACACAGGCGCATCCTCGAGCTTCCGTGGGCTGGGACGGCCACCGTTAAGTCCCTCGGGAGCCCGCCCAGCGCTCTGGAGCACCCAGGGGCACGGAGGCAGCTGGCAAGGTCACCTCCCTGCTCCCTGCACCCGGGCACGGGGAGCTGGCCGCCCCGCGGACGGGCTCGGTCTCGGGGGGCGCTCTGTCACAGGGTTCACGGCCGCCAGAAGTGCGAGGGACAGTCCCCCTGCTCCCTGTCCTCGTCACGACTGTTCAGTAGACTTCGACGTGTCTTAGCAGAGGAAAAGCAGTGGCACTTATGCAGAGAAGGTAAGTGGCCGGTGTGAGGGCACTTAGAGCGGAAGCCGGGCGAGGCCCTGGAGAGTCGTGACCCTCCAGACTGCCACCGTGCAGAGCGGTCCAGGGACGGCCCGCCTTTGCAGGGTGTGGGGGCTTCGGCCACTGTGCTAGAGACAGGGCGTCGTGGCAGACACGGGTTCGAGCCCATGCCTGTGGCTCCGAAGCCCTGCGTGGGCTTCGGTCTGTTTCAGTGTGTCCTGTGCCCCCAGATCTCAGAGGTGACATTTACCTGTGGCACACTAGCTGCTGTCCATCGAAAGCACTGAGTGTGGGCTGTGGGAAGGTCCTTGGTTGTTGTGTTACTTGACCAAGGGAGCACGTGTGAAGATGTCAGACGTAGTTCGTGTGTCTTAAGAAATGGCACTCAGTAGCAGGTGATGTGATCTGAGTGTGTCCCCCGAGTTCACGTTGAACTCTCACCTCCAGTGTGATGGCCTTCGGAGGTGGTTGGGTGATTCAGATTAGTGCCCTTAACTGTAAGGACCCCACCACAGCAGCCCTCCTGCACAGCGGACAGCGAAGGGACAGCCCCGTGAACCCGAGGGGGCCTCACCAGACAGCGGCTCAGCCGCACCTTGGTCTTGGACTGAGCGATGAGTGGTGTCCGGAAGGTCCGCCAAGGCAGACCCGCGTGCGGTCCACTCACTCACCGAGCACAAGCCAGGGTAGGCAGGGGGTCCTGCGCTCCGTGTCCACGTGGGTGCCCCAGCCGAGGGGGCCCTCGGGCGGTGCGGTGTCGGCACGTGGAGCCCGGAAACTCTCTGTCGTACCGAGGCTGACGTGCCCGCTGTTCAGACACGTCCAGACCCCTGGCGGATCACGGTATGAGGGGGGACTTCGGGGCAGGTCGGGCCGGCGGGCGCGTGGCCCGTAGGAGGGGCCGGCTGGGCAGAGCAGAGCCAAGCGGGGAACGGGGCCCGAACCCTCCGTTCTCTGCGTAGAGACTGGACCGCCAGCCGCTTAAGTTACAGAAACGGGTCCCGTGCCTCGGCCGGGAGGGAGCGTGTGCAGGCGGCTGGGGAACTCTGGGTTCTTGCCCTGCCCGACAACACGACGAGCCCAGGAGAGGTGCCAGCTCGGTCGTTCAGCCATTCCCAGCCCCCAATCATGGGGGGTGGGGGGCGATGGCCGCCCAGAGGAGGTGGGCCAGGCCTTCCCCGCTTTCTCTTCCGTCCGTCTCGGTGTTCACAGCAGGTCGGGTCTGGGAAGATGGGGGTGGGGTGTGTGTGTGTGTGTGTGTGTGTGTGTGTGTGTGTGTGTGTGTGTACGCGCGTGTGCACGCACGTGGGTCGATGGCAGATGCTTATGTCCCTGAAGCTCGGTGATTTGGGACAAAATGGGAGTAGCCAGACTAGAGGGGGCTTGAGAGGAGGGGGCTCGGTAAACAGGCGTCGAGCTGCGCGGTTCAGGGGCAGAGTGAGGTGGGGGCATCGAGTGGTTTTAGAAAACTACTTGCCGGACCCAGACGCTTCTAACGTACGGCGCAAGGTTTAGAATCGATGATGCCAGAAAGTGACGTGATTTACATAAAACCCCGCAGTGGAATTTTATCTTATCTTTCGAGAAGAAAGTTTTGTTTGGAGTCCAAACGCAGAGAATGACTCTTTGGCTGTATGCCAGCCGAACACTTAAATGACTGGCAAGAAGTGTCACCGTAGGACTAGCTTTTAAATGGGGGCTGATAACACAGAGCTCTCTGGTCAGCAGCTGACTGGCTGGAGACCGAGTTGCAGGCTCATGAGTTGTAAATGTAAAAGGCATTTTCCACAATTAAGACAAAAACGTGACTGCATCGGCGACAGCCTGGAAGAACGCTGGAGTGGTCCAGCAGAAGCTTCACTCTGGGCCCCGCTCCACGCCCGCCAGGCCGCCCCGCCAGACGGCGCAGTTCCGGACCGGCTGCCCTCGTGGATAGACTCCGAATCTCCTCCGCCATGTCCCCGAGGCCCCGCCGGGACACACCGAGGACGGGGACGGGTGAGGAAAGCGGCCAGGGGTCTCCAGCGGGAGCGGGGCGCTCCCCGGGCACTGTCACCTGTCACCCATCCTGTCCTTACCCTACAGCTTGGCTCCCAGCTTTCAGGAGGTCTCACTTGCCGTGGGACACAGTGGCTTTCTGCGTTCCTTCTGCGTGCCAAGGAGCAGCCAGCTGTAGTCACTTTCCTTGGGAGACACCTTGCATGGGGCGGCCACACCTGTGGCCCTGGGCCTGCTGTCTGGCCCTCGGGGCTGGGCTGCAGAACCAGTGGACTGCAGAACCGCCCGGAGGGACCGAGCCGGGTCGGCCACCTTCCAGACTGCAGTGAGGTCGCACCCGCTCCTCGTTAGGCTGAGGCCTGCGTGTGAAGCAGACGTGACCGAGTCTGCGTCTCCAGGGACTGCCGGACTGAGGAAGACGCACTGTGTCCCCCCCAATATGGAGCTCACCTGTTGCAGTTAATTGCTATTTTTTTTTTTTCGATGAAATGAGAGGAAGCATTACCATCGACTTCCGAGGGCAGGAATTCTCTAAGACCCTCTCTGCCCACACTTCCCAGTCCTGGAGACCGTGAAGAAGTTCACGCGACCGTTTCCAACCCGAGCGTTTCTAACTGCTGTCTTTCCGGAGGGACGGCCCCCGGCACCCAGACGCAGGCCCGTGGGCGCTGTCCGTGGCCCCTGCCCCTGCTCCACCCAGTGGGGATCTTAACATGGGCAAAGGTGTCTCGGGACCTGCATGTCGTTCTCCCAGTAAAGGACTCGTTTTTCAGAAACGACAGCTGTTTTGGCAGAACTCACACAACCGGACACGGCAGGAGCCACAGAAACCTCTTTATTGCAGAAGCGAGGGTGTGGGAGCGGCACAGCAGGGGCCGCACGGCCCACCGCCCCTGAGCCTCGTCCTTCTGGAACCTTGCGGGCTGCGCCTGGACTAGGCGTCCATGCCCGCCCGGCCAGGTCCGGCGGGGCTCCGTCTCTGGCAGGGAAGGCGTCGCTGGTTCATCCTTCACATCCGCAGGAGCATTGTAAAGAAGGGGTTCGCTTCGTGCGTGGACGTGACCTCCGCGCGCTCAGCCAGTGGTGCTGTCCGGTCCTCTTCATGGTGTTGGCAGCGTGTGAAAGGCCAGTCGTCGACACGCAGCTGTCTCACGTCCATCGGGGCGGAAGGAGGGGCCTGCGTGCTCTGCTGCTCGTTGTTCTGCGATGTCACATGGCTTCTGTTTGCGGCTGTGGATTCCGGAGAGGGCTTTGTGCCTCCCGCTCCGGGGCAGCTCGAGCTCGGAGGGGCGTCGAGGGCCCCGGAAGCCTGGTGGCGAGTCGGTTTGTTTTCATCGCGAGATATTTTTCAAGAACCTGAGATAAAGTTATGCCATTTTCTACACCAGCTCTCGTTTTTCAAAGGGAAGGGCCTTGCGTGGATGGCAACATTTGATCCTTTTAGTTTTGGGGAGCAGAAGGGGGACGGGTGGAGCTGCGGGGTTGGGGCTCTCGCCCGACCGGGGCCCTTCCCAGCCCCGCGGGCCCTACTGCTCGTCAGAGGCGCTCTGCTGCGACGCCGTGTCGTCCAGGCCCATGTCCTCCTGGCTGGCTCTCCTGCAGACCACCCCGACGCCCGCAGCCACAGCCTCGGCCAGGTGGTGGCCTCGCAGCTGCGCCTGGGAGGTGGCCTCGGTGGGTTCACAGGGCTCCGAGAAGTGCTTCGGAAGAGAGGACAGAGACAAAGTGCTCAGCAAACAGGTGTGGCCGCTTTCGGCACCCCCCACCCCACCCCACCCCACC